ACTGACCTAGGTCAATAGTGCGCCAGAACGTACATAGCTACCCTACTATCGTTCGTCGAATGCATGCGAAATTTCCACAATTCTTGGCTGGTTTCGATTTGGTATAATAATTTATTTAAAAAATCTTCATCATTTTGTATGATTATTTAAATAAAAAAAATGCAAAAACAGGTTGGACAGGAAGACAAGGCACCTGGTTTAGTTTCGTTTGCCGAACAGATTTTACAGTTGCCTGACGACATAAAAATCCTTTTACATGCCGGCGAAACAGCGTGGTTTGGCAGTGTTGATGAAAATTTGGTAATTTATTGCAGGCAATTAACCTGCCATTCCATTTTTTTTTTATTTTTCTCTCAATTTTGCCACTGTAGATTGATGCAGTTCTGCTGGGAAGTCGTCGAATTGGTCATGGTTATGCATTAGCTAAACATCCGAAAATAATTGATCTTGTCAAAAGCAATGATATTGCGGTTGAGGTGAATCCAATCTCCAATCAAGTCCTCAAACTTGTTGACGATTTTCGTAATCATCCAGCGTCAGTACTTATGGCACAAAATGTGCCAATTGTTATTTCATCGGATGATCCATCTTTTTGGGAGGTTTTACCGTTGTCGCACGACTTTTACATTGCATTTTTAGGAATTGCATCGCGTCACAGTGACTTGCGAACTCTTAAGAAATTCGCAATCAATTCTATTCAGTACAGTTGTCTAAATGATAGTGAAAAAACAGTAGCATTCGCCAAGTGGCAAGTCAAATGGGACACATTTATTGAAGACTTAGTGCAAAATCAACAATAATTTAAATGTATGTCAAAATGCTTTGCACGAAAAAAAAAACAAAAAACACACGAATGATGGAAAAAGTGATAGTATTTATATTTATCAGAAAAAGAAAAAAAAAATATTTGCGTGTGTTCGATAATAAAACATTTAATACCTTCCAGTTTGACGGATTTGGCAAACAAGCTTATCATATGTTACCACATATGTTCAAAAATATTATTTAGAATACATAAAACGACCGCTGTCATTCACACAGAATCTAATGAATAAAATAACACAAATAACAACAACAATGATGAAACTGGTGAAACAACTTATAAGACAACAGATAAGATTGATTACGTATTACGCAGCGCGTGTCGAGTCCACACTCATTTTCAATCGAGTTTGTTATCATTAATGTATTGTCCATTTAACCTTAGAACCGTGAGTTCTAAGTGCCCAACAATTGTGTATGTTTATTTAAATGTAAGAATTAGAAGCATGTAAAAGGGTTGTTCAATTTTAGGAATTTTTTTTGGAAAAAAGATATTTTTTCTATATGATAGTTAGGCTAGAGTAAAAATTATAGATTCACAAATATTACGTTTTTATTTGCCATAACTCAATTCACAGATCTAAGAAATTGTTCAATACATTACATATTTGGCCAAAAATTACAATTTTTCGACATTTTTAACCACATTACGATCATCCACACTATTGAGTAAAAAGATGAAAAAGAATGATGAAAAACCAAATAAAAATCAACAAATAAATTGTCTATCTATTCAGTAAAAAAATGAAAATAAAAAAAACGCAATATCAATTCTGTTGAAAAACTTAATTTCGTCAAAGCGTTATAACATGTGTTTTCGTGAAGTCGAAAATTGTAAAATTTATCCATAAAACACCTGGATATGTTTATACGTCCTTGTAATTTCAAAAAGTATTTTTCAACAAGCGAATCTTCAGCGAAATAATTCATGAAAAAAAGTCACAGTGAGTGAGCAAAAAAAGACATTCCTCTCAAATGACGCAATATAACATGATAGTTTCAAGTAGACAATAAGTTTTAAACATAGGTGTTTACGAGGGTTCCTATCGTTCCGATTAAACCTCCACCTAAAAACATTCTTGCGAACCTTACCTTTTTTGGTCATCAATTTCTGAAATGGGAGAATTTCTTTCGATTTGCTAAGGTCGGAATTTTGACATCACCACTCCAAATAAAGGAAAAATGATAATAAATAAGAAGTTTAAATCTTTCAAAATTTATTTTAACAATTTAAATTTAAAGAAAAATCTAAGCCAAATGCATTTATATATCATCATTAATTGTCATTAATTAGTCTGTATGTTGGAAGACATGTTTTATCTTCTTCGTGGCTTTTCAATAAAAAATTCTTCAAAAGTTGAAACAATCTTGAGTTTTTCAAGATTTTTATGAACCGATTCAATGTATTTCACCTTAAGAAGCTTTTTGTCCATTTTTTTCACAATTGGCACCATTTTATCGAGCCGCTCCAAATAATCGTTCGATTGATAAAGTGGAAGGGCTAATTTTTCTTGAAATTGAAATATTTTTGTCGCGGTACTCTTAATTTTTTCCAAAGTTTTACCAATTTCCTTTTCGATTTTGATTTTTGTTTTGTTCATTTCTTTGACAAAGGTAACGATTTGATCACTTATTGCTGGTGTAATTGTATAGGCGGTGTCAGAACTATTTTCAACTTTTCGAATTATATTCGATATATAATCAAATTGATTCACGTCAATGCAATACAGTTTTACTATCTCTGCGACGTGCTTAAGTCCTCGGGTGTCATATCGAAGATCATACAAATAATTATACTTGTCTCGGTCCTCAAAATACACTGGAGTAACCTGAGTTGTCTCCATTGTATATACTATCGATTCGATTAGTTCACAGTGGCTTATGGTATTCACAATTGGTGTGGCAACGGAACCGTTTACAAATTCATCAAGTGATTGTGTTAACTCAATAAGTGGTTGTTTCCATGAATGAACTAATTCATAAATATTTTCATTTTCATGATTATCTCCCGCCGTATGACTTGACATCTCAAATATTTCTGTGAAGGATTGGATCGTTAAAATACAAAAAAAATATGGTATTTTTGCAATGAAATAAATAATTTTCGAAATTACTTTTCCCCTTTTCTTCCTCTGTAAACCGTCCAGATTCAACTTCTGTTAGATAAACAAATACAGTAATAGCCAAATAAAGTAGCTGCATTTTGATTATTTCCACTTTTTCTAACTTAATCGATGTACTTCAAAAACACGACTGTTACACTCAGAATGAATGATACATCCTTTTATACGTAAATAGTAAGTTACAATTACAGATAACATGTTTTTTTATATTTTCCAACCCCATATTTGCGTATGAAATCATTTCAAAGTCAAATTCATGTTTTTTCAATAGAGTTGATTTAAATAAAGAATGTTTCGGTATCGATATTTTTTACAATGAGCTCATAACGACACTGCGTTTCAAAAATTTGCATCATAGGTTTTTATTTTAAATGAGGTTGTATTCAACCAATTTTGAAAAAAAAAAATATATATTTCATGAATATCAATGAATTGATGAATACAAAAAAGCATTTAAAAAGAAACTATGCCCACAACAAATAGTACTGAAGTGGCCCTCCATCCAAAATTTGGATCATATGCGTTAAATATATTAGAGAAATGTTGGACAAAATAATAAATTTAATTTAATAGCTGAAATGGTGGTGAAATGTAGACTTGTGCAAAAACCACTCATAGAAAAATCTGCGAATTTTTTGAACCCAGAAATCGGTTAAAATCAGATCGATAAGTGCGATCAATGCGAGAAAATATTCAAAAATTCGCTCCAAAAAATTGAACATATGAGACTACAACGAGAGAAAAGGTATACTGTTTGATTGGCTGCATCCTGAAATTCAAAAAGTTAGCCATTACACGCCATATGGAGAGGAGAACATTAAAAAAATTATAACAAAACTCAAATAAATTTCTATTTCATGCTTGTTTATTCGTTCAAAGAAAATGTGGTTTTTGATACAATTAATTCAATATCCATGAATTTTTCAAAATTCCATTTCGTTTTTGATCATAAATTAATTTTTTTTTTAATTTTTTAGTTTAAACAAATTCATAGGGTTTATTGTATATCTTGTTGTTGGAAGAAAATCTTAAAGCTCTCGAAATCAGATCGAATGGTCCAAACATTTTTGCCGAATAGGATTGGGTGCGTTTTATCGTGATTAGGCTGAGATTATCTGTTGATTCGGTGTTCCACTTTGTTTTTAAGAAAGTTTCCTCATCGACGTAAATAGTCACTTTTCGAGCTCTCGGTAACTTTTCACGTTCTTTGTTCCATGAGGATACATCAAGCTCCTTGTCAAATCTATCAGCAAAAATTTCCTTTAGTTTTGGTGCGCATTTGATAAACCACAAAATGTTATGCTGTTCGATACGCGCATTCAGCCACAATCGCTCAAGATTCACCAAATTTTTTGCAAAATATTCTATTTCTTTTATAAAACGGTCATCGTGTCCAGTATAGAATAGCGTTTTAACAATAGCCATACTAGATCGATTAACATCAAATTCTGAAAGGATCGGTGTTCTTAACAATTCAAGTCCTTTCACCTTAAAAATGTTAACATTCCAATGAGACTCTTGTAATACATTTAATCTTTTGTAAAAACCACGGTCGTAAAGTTGATTTAGTAAACTGACCGGTACTTCGTGTGGGTTGTAATTATCTATGGTAAGTTCGTCCAGTTGAACGCTTGATTTCAACGCCGCATCAAAAAAATCATTTGAT